TATCACCTCTTAAGTTGGATAATCTGTTCTCATAATACAATTTTTTAGCTCTTCTTATCAGGCTGGTTAGGATTGACGAGTAACTTTTGTTTGGTCTCTGGTTATGTGACCCATTCTGTACTGTTTTTCGTATAGGTGCTTTGTATTTATGGATTTGAGGATGCTGGGTGTTAGCCAGGGACTGTTCAGTCTCTTAGCTGTCATCTGTTTAGTTTTTTTAGGGCAGTGCTTGTTATAGAGGTATTGGGTCTTTTTTAGAAAATTATTAATACATTCGTCAGTATCTGTATAGATTTCTAGCTCAGTGTGCCAGTAAATGTTTGTCACTGCTGTTGTGAAGTTATTAATGGCTTCCTCATTGTGAAGTCTGAAAGTGACTTTAGTAGTGTCTTGGGGTAATTTGCCAAGATTAGTTATGAGGAAGGTAGGGTAGTGGTCTGTGGTATTGTCTGTGATTATGCCTGATTTTAAAGGGGATATGGTGTTGGTCCCGATGTGGTCTAGTAGGGAAACACTAGTCTGTGTAACTCTTTTAGGTTTTGTTACTGTTGATAGCAACATGCAGTTACTCATAGTGTTTGAATTCAGTAACGTGTGCATCCTGGTCTTGCAGGAGATTTATATTGAAGTCACCTGAGAGTAGTAAGTGATCTTTATTCATGCGTGCATCAGTTATCATACTTCCTAGGTTTTCACTAAAATGGCTAATGTTTGACTGTGGTACTCTGTAGATGTTTATCGTGAGAGGTTTTTGTAGGTATTTGGATTTGAATTTAGCTATTATATATTCCCCATGTTCATCCCTTGTGCAAGTATTAGTGATACATTCTAGTTAGTCTAGTTGCCACCCCCTTGTTGATCTGGTCTACAGTTGTGTATGGCTGTGTAACCAGGAATGGCATAGACATCTGTAGTATCAGGCTTTAGCCAGGTTTCGGTGAGAGTAATGATGGACATACTGGCATGTAGGGAATTTAGTAATGCTATGAGGTCATCGTAATGTTTACTTAAAGATCTGATATTGTAGTTAAAGACAGTTATGTTTTTGTTGGCTCTGAGAAGTGCCTTTGATTGTTCTGCTGTGTAGTAATTACAATTACTGTTTGATTCATTTAAGTCATTCATTAAGAGGTTGGTATCAGGATCAATGCTTGTTATCATAAGATTTATAGTGAATCTATAGTTAGAATCAAGTATAAGACAAAGTAAATATTCTAAAGCTAAAAAATAGCACCTGAATTATTTTAACAAATGTAAATAAAGGAGACAATTTAAAAGGGACTAAAATAATTTGTGGTGAACAAATAAAATGATGATCAAGTAATGGAGCTTGGGAATATGGCAGTTTACCTGGAGTGTACCTGGAGAGAGTTCCGGGGGTCAACGACCCCGCGGCCCGGTCTGTGACCAGGCCTCCTGGTGGATCAGAGCCTGATCAACCAGGCTGTTGCTGTTGGCTGCACACAAACCAACGTACGAGCCACAGCCCAGCTGGTCAGGAACCGACTTTAGGTGCTTGTCCAGTGCCAGCTTGAAGACTGCCAGGGGTCTGTTGGTAATCCCCCTTATGTATGCTGGGAGGCAGTTGAACAGTCTCGGGCCCTTGACACTTATTGTATGGTCTCTTAACGTGCTAGTGACACCCCTGCTTTTCATTGGGGGGATGTTGCATCGTCTGCCAAGTCTTTTGCTTTCGTAGTGAGTGATTTTCGTGTGCAAGTTCGGAACTAGTCCCTCTAGGATTTTCCAGGTGTATATAATCATGTATCTCTCCCGCCTGCATTCCAGGGAATACAGGTTTAGGAACCTCAAGCGCTCCCAGTAATTTAGGTGTTTTATCTCCTTATGCGCGCCGTGAAGGTTCTCTGTACATTTTCTAGGTCAGCAATTTCACCTGCAGTAGGTAGTTCTTTAATGGTAGTTCTTTAAAATTAAAATAAGGGAGACATTATAAATGGGAATATTATAAGTTGTGGTGAACAAATAAAGTGTTAATCAAATAAATGATCTAGGGAATATAATGGCAAAATAGTGAACTTATTACACTTTAGCACCTGAGAATAGCACCTTGATTATTTTAACAATTGTGAATATATGAACTAGGGTAGTTATATAAAGCTAAAAATAATGGAGAAAATATATAAGGGACTAAATTAAGTAATGGTAAACAAAGTTAAATGGACAGATAGTCACTATGATATAATATTGATTTAGGAGTAAGATCTGATTTGTAATATGTAATAAGTTGAGCAATTTATTGCACAATAAAAAGTAAAAAAATGAGGCAGTTGGTACTAGCTAGCAAAAGATAGCTTTGGGACTTGCACAAGATCTTACCCCAAGATCTTTTTCCTTGAGTGAAGTTTGCAGTCTTTGGCCACCTAGAGTATACTGTGTCTGCGGTCTTCTTTGCCCTTCCCCAATCTTCATGACTTTGCATTTGGCAGGGTTAAATTCAAGGAGCCCGTTGCTGAACCAGGCTTGTAGCCTGTCCAGGTCTCTTTGTAGTCCTGCCTGATCCTTGAGTTGACCTGTGTGTACTCACCTATTTGTGGTTGCAGGGGTCGAGTCCTAGCTCCTGGCCCCGCCTCTTCACCGGTTGCTACTAGACCCTCTCTCTCCCCGCTCCATGAGCTTTATCAAACCTCGTCTTAAAACTGTGTATGGTTCCTGCCTCCACTACGTCATTTTCTAGGCTATTCCACTGCCTTACAACTCTATGACTGAAGAAATACTTCCTACTATCTCTCTGACTCATTTGTGTCTTCAACTTCCAATTGTGGCCTCTTGTTTCTGTGTCCCCTCCCTGGAACATCCTGTCCTTGTCCACCTTGTCTATTCCACGCAGTATTTTATATGTCGTTATCATGTCTCCCCTGACCCTCCTGTCCTCCAGTGTCGTCAGGCCGATTTCCCTTAATCTTTCTTCATAGGACATTCCCCTTAGCTCTGGAACTAACTCTGTTGCAAACCTTTGTACTTTCTTAGTTTCTTGACGTGCTTTATCAAGTGCGGGTTCCAAACAGGTGCTGCATACTCCAGTATGGGCCTGACATACACGGTGTACAGTGTCTTGAATGATTCCTTACTAAGGTGTCGGAATGCTGTTCTCAGGTTTGCCAGGCGCCCATATGCTGCAGCAGTTATCTGATTGATGTGTGCTTCCGGAGACATGCTCGGTGTTATACTCACCCAAGATCTTTCTCCTTGAGTGAGGTTGCAGTCTTTGGCCACCTAGCCTATACTCTGTCTGTGGTCTTCTGTGCCCTTCCCTATCTTCATGACTTTGCATTTGGCGGATTAAATTCGAGAAGCCATTTGCTGGACCAGGTGTCCAGTCTGTCCAGGTCTCTTTGAAGTCCTGCCTGGTCCTCATCAGATTTATTCTCCTCATTAACTTCACATCATCTGCAAACAGGGACACTTCTGAGTCTAACCCTTCCGTCATGTCGTTGACATATACCAAAAATAGCACTGGTCCTAGGACCGACCCTGTGGGACCCGCTCGTCACAGGTGCCCACTGTGATACATCATTACGTACCATGACTCGTTGTTGCCTCCCTGTCAGGTATTCTCTGATCCATTGCAGTGCCCTTCCTGTTATATGCGCCTGATGCTCTAGACTTCTGCACTAATCTCTTGTGAGGAACTGTGTCAAAGGCCTTCTTGCAGTCCAAGAAGATGCAATCAACCCACCCCTCTCTCTCTTGTCTTACTTCTGTTATTTTATCATAAAACTCCAGAAGGTTTGTGACACAGGATTTGCCTTCCGTGAATCCGTGCTGGTTGGCATTTATACTCCTGTTCCGTTCCAGGTGCTCCACCACTCTCCTCCTGATAATCTTCTCCATAATTTTGCATACTATACACGTCAATGACACAGGTCTATAGTTTAGTGCCTCTTTTCTGTCTCCTTTTTTGAAAATGGGAACTACATTTGCTGTCTTCCATACCTCAGGTAGTTGCCCAGTTTCCAGGGATGTGTTGAAGATTGTGGTAAGTGGTACGCACAACATATCTGCTCCCTCTCTAAGGACCCATGGAGAGATGTTGTCCGGTCCCATTGCCTTTGAGGTATCGATGTCCCTTAGCAGTTTCTTCACCTCCTCCTCAACTGTAAGTATGTCGTCCAACTCTTGTTGGTGTATTCCATGTTGGTGTACCATCTGGTCTGTCCCCCCAGATTCCTTCCTGCTCTACTGTAATTACCTTCCTAAACTCGTGTTGCGCTCCTCACATACCTCTTGATCGTTTCTTGTGTCATGTTCCCCACCTTCTTTTTCCTCAGCCTTATCAAACCTGGTCCTTGACTGTTGGCCTTCTTCCTATGGTGCTATTCACACAGTTTCGGGTCAAGTTGACTTTCGAGCTAGTGTTGTGTGTGTGTGGGTGTGCGTGCGTGCGGCGTGCATAGCGTGCATCGTGCGGGTGTGTGCTGCGAGCGTGTTGTGCTGCGTGCGTGTTTGCGTCTGCATGTGTGTGTGTGTGGCATGCGTGTGCTCATGCCTGCCTGGTGTGTGGCGTGTGCATACTCGCCTATATGTGGTTGCAGGGTCGAGATTCAGCTCTGGTTCCTGCTCTTCACCATCACTACTAGGTCCCTCCTCTCTCTCTGCGTCCTGAGCTTGTCATACCTCGACTTAAAAAGCTATTATTGGTAACCCTGCCTCACTACATCGTCATGCTAAACATTCCACTTCCCTGATGACTCTAGACTAAAGAAATACTTCCTAAACAGCCCTGTGCTCGTCTGAGTCTTCGCATCCAATTGTGAACCCCTTGTTTCTGTGTCCCCTCTCTGAACATCATCTGTGTGGTGTGTGTGTGTTGTGTGTGTGTTGTTGTGTGTGTGTGTGTGTGTGTGAGTGAGTGGGTGTGGTTGTGATTTGAACTGTAAAAATGGTAGTTGACCCTGTTGATATTGCTGGTCTAGACTCACATTGCATCATTATCATCACATTTTCACGTATTTACAATGATGTGCCTCATTACAGGTCAGGACAAGATAGAGTTTTCTAACAGAACCATGAGAACTTGAGATATACAAACTTGCGTATATTAGATTTGAAGATTATTTCTCAAGGAGAATCCTGACTATTTTTAAGTACTTGTAGAAGTCATAGTCAGAACCAAAGAGTTATTGTACATAATGAATGTACATGATAGGTAACATGGGGGGGGAGGATACAGTAACACATATAACCTGCCATAGAGAGAGAAGCTACTACAATGGTTTTGGTCCACTTGGACCATCATTACAAATCAACACTAAAAGAAAAGAGTGATCGCCCAGTAAATACAGTGAGTGGGATAATGTACAGGAACAAGAGAGGGAGAAGAGAAGTAGTGGTAGTAAGTAGTGGGTGGTAGAAAAATATGAGAGTGTTTAGTGCACAAAAGAAAAAAGGGAGTGAAAGGAGAGTTCATCATACAGTGTTGCTCCTTCTATCAGGTTTAAAGCTGAATGGGAATCTAACTCTATGCTTCCTTTCCATGATGTTCGTGTCCATGCTCGGCTACAGCCTATACACAATGGTATGTACATTCTTTACTTTTCTTACCATGCTCCATCTGTCCCTTATTTCTCTCTTTCTCCATGTCCTCTGCACTTGTGACCCTCAGTTCCTTGATTCGGAAATTTCCACTCTTTGTAATTCATTCTCATTTCTTGGCTACCCTTGTTTGGGAGAGAAGAAAGTCCGTGTTAAATGGACTTTCTTCTCTTCCAAACTCTCTACTCCTGGGAAATCTCCTGTTCTCTGCCTTCCCTATATTTACAGTTTTCTAATCTCATCAACACTCTCTCGTTCCTATAAGATCAATCTTTATTTGTCGCTAAGCATTGACACCCCTTCGCAGAAATCTAGTTCATACCTCTCCTCCCACTATAGATGCTCCTGGTGTCTGCTGTATTTCATGCTCCTCTTGTCCTCTCCAATATTTTGGAGAGACTGGTCACTCTCTGACAGACTCAAAGAACACAAAAGAAGTATTAGGCTTGCTGACACCAGTATTGTTCTTTTCTGACATGTTAGAGATCACAGTCATCCTGTTAACTGGTCCTCTGCTGAAACTGTCTACCCTACTTCAAGCTTTCACAGTCGCTGTCTTGTTGAAGCATCATATATACACAACTTTCCTTGTATGAATCTTAGTCTTGACCTAGTCTCTGTAGATGCCTTCCTTTCTCGTTACATTATCAAATGCTCCAAACTTCAGAACACTTATGACTTGACCTGATCCTTTCTTCTCCTACTTTCCCTGCCTCTTCTCCAATTTTTTTTTTCTTTTTCTTCCATTGTTTTTCTTTCTTCTACCTAGTGTGTTCTGTAAGACAGTTTTTTCCTCCCTTGCAGTTTTGGTCCTACCCTTTGTGGGCCCTTAGCTCTCCACAAGTGCGCCTTTTGTGTTCAGCATAGTTTGCTGATCCCTGACCCCCTGACCCCACTCCTAACTTTACTACTTCCTCTCTCTCCCCCTTTCCCTTTACTGTTGTTACTATCTTACTATTCCTCCCTCACCCCCTTTTTCGCTTCTTGTCCACTAAGCTACGTCTCCATTACATCAAACTAAACACTACTCCTCTCTTCCCCCTCTGTTCACTGTACTTTATCCCCTTGCTCGCAACACGTGCTGGCTACCTCACTCTTTTCTTTTAGTGTACTGTACATGGTCCAAGTTGGACCAAACATTGTTTATAAGCTTCTTCTCTCCGACTGTAATTGTGCCCTTTTTGTTTTTGGACATGAGACCCAATGTTTTGTACAAGGATGTGACATGGATACAATGTTTGTCCATTGAAGTGACTAACAATGTTTGGACCGGTGATGGGTGACATGAAACAATATACAGTGGAAGGTGACATGATACAATGTTTGACAGTGATGGGTTGACATGTATTGATCTTCTTACCGAGTCTACCTGAGGCATCCGGGGATCACGCCCCGAGGCCTGGTCATGACCATCCTCCTTGTGAATCAAGGCCTGATCAACGAGGCTCTTACCGCTGGCTGCACGTAGTCCAGCATACGAACCACATCTCGGCTGATCTGGCACTGATTTTAGATATCTGTCCAGCTCCCTCTTGAAGACAACCAGGGGTCTATTGGTAATACCCCTTATGGCTGGTGGGAGGCTGTTGAACAGTCTTGGGCCCCGAACACTTATTGTGTTTTCTCTTAGTGTACCAGTGGCGCCTCTACTTTTCACAGGAGGTATGCATCACCTGCCAAGTCCTTTGCTTTTGTAGGGAGTGATTTCTGTATGCAGATTAGGGACCAGAGTCCAGCCAGAATACCCTCCAGTGTACTCTCATGATATACTCTCTCTTGCCTGCGCTCCAGCGAGTACAAGTCAAGTGCTTCCATGCATTCCAAGTAGCTAAGGTGTTTGATGGAACTTATATGTGCAGTAAAGGTTCTCTGTAAATTCTCTAAATCTGCAATCTCACCTGTCAGAAGTCCTCAGGTTGTTCTTCAACTCTATATATCCTTGGTTAGGCCTCATTTAGACTATGCTGCTCAGTTCTGATCACCGTATTACAGAATGGATGTAAATGCTCTGGAGAACGTACAGAGGAGGATGACAAAGATGATCCCATGTATCAGAAATCTTCCCTATGAGGATAGACTGAGGGCCCTGAATCTGCACTCTCTCGAAAGGCATAGAATTGGGGGGATATGATCGATGTGTATAAATGGAAAACAGGAATAAATAAAGGGGGAATGTAAATAGTCGTGCTGAAACTTCCAGCCAAGACAGGACTCGTTGCCATTTGCAATGGGTTTCAAGTGGAAAAATTCAATTTAGGAAGGATATAGAAAGCACTGGTTTGGGTAATAGAGTTTGTGGATGAGTGGTGGAACAAATTCCCGAGTGCAGTTATTCAGGCTACAACATGGTGTAGTTTTTAAAAAAGTTAGATAAATGCATGAGGTGGTGTGTGGGTGGGTGTGAGTTGGACTGACTACTTTGCTGCTGGTCTGGAGCAAGTGCTCCATCCGTGATGGAGGTGACCAAACAGGGTGGTCATGGCTAATCCGGGGGGAAGGGACTTGGACCTGCTCTACTGGTTCAGTAGGGCTGTTAGAGTGTTCCTTCTTTCTTATGTCTTAAGTCGAAAATGTTACGGCAGTATTCCAGCCTCGAGAAAACAAGTGATTTTATAAAAGATCATAATTGGCCTGCTTGGCATCGTCGGTTGAATGTTCTCACCATCCATCCTATCAGTTTCCTCGCAGTTGTGATAGTGGCATTGGTGTGGTCCTTGAAGGTGAGATCTTCACACATTACCACTCCCAGATCCTTCACATTACTTTTCCAATCTGTTGTGCAATTAGAGTTTGTAGTATACTCAGTCCTAGTTATTATTTCCTCCAGTTTTCCATAACAGTAGTTGGAATTTGTCTTCAATGAACATCATATTGTTCTCTGTTGCCCAATTGGAAAACTTGGTTTATATCATCTTGGAGCTTTGTCGTGTCCTCATTGGATGACACTCATGCAAATCCTAGTATCGTCTGCAAAGGATGATATGGTGCTATTCAAATTCAAATTCAAAATTCAAAATTCAAAATTCAAAAATTTATTCTCTATAAGGATTACAATGCTGAGTTTACAGAGTTTGGTTATTGTGTGGTTTACATGTAGTAAAATAATAATTACAGAGTGTACCACTAGAACACCTAGCATGGCTAGGCATTTCAGGCAGACTTAGATTAAATCTTTAGTTTAAAATATTACAAAATTATGAGGTAAAGGTTGGTATTATGGCTAAGTATAAATACTAGTTTTGTGAGTTAAGCTAATGTGAATGCTTTTGTTTTGGCACTATACATAGTTTTCAGTATGAGTATCACAGGCCAACTTACGACTATTTAAGATCATTATTTTGAATTGAGATTGATATTTCTGTTTATGGTCAAATGGGTGAGTGAGTGTAGTGTAACCACCAGTGGTAATTCTGTAATTAGTTGTACAGTGTATCGGGAGATAAGATGTTTTTCCTGATGGTATTTTGAAGGTGATGAAAGTGTCTGCAGTTTAGAATTTTCAGAGTAGGGGGTTTCCAGATTTTAGGACTTGACATACATTGAATTTTTGTTAAAGGTTTAGTCGGACAACGGGGAATGTCCTAGAGTTGTTTGTTCTGGTGTTGGGGCTGTGGGTTCTGCCGCAACTATCCAAGAAAGCGTTTTAGGTCAAGGTAATATTGGAATTTTAAGGTCCCTGTAGATGTAGATTGCACAGTAGTAAGTGTGGATGTACTTGAACAGGGATAAGTTTAGATCTATAAGAGTGGGGGGTGTGTTTGCCAGGGAGGGATTTAGTGATTATTCTTACTGCGGCTTTTTGTTGGTTATTAATTGGCTTTAGGTGTGTTGCTTGCGGTTGAACCCCAAGCACAGATTAGCATAGTGAGGTATGGAATGTAAGTCAATGGTAAAGTGGTGAAAGGGCGTATGCGCACGTAGTATCATATCTTGGGAGGATCCCAACCGTTTTTGATACTTTTATTGGTTATATGTTGGATATGGGGCTGAAGTTCAGGTTGTTGTCGAGGTATAGGCCTAGAATTTTGCCCTCATTATGCCTGGCAATTAGAGTGTTGTCGTTCTTAATTTTAATTTGCGCATTCTCCTGCTCTGCTACCAAACATAATGTAGTAGTTTTGTCAGTGTTTAATCCGTAAGTTTTTGCTGTCATCCAAGTCTATATTTTGATCACTTGTCATTAACAATGGGGTTGAGGTGGCAAGATTTAGGGTAAGATGACATAAGTCATTGTCGTCCAGCAAAGAGAATGGGGTTCAGGTTGAGATACGTTTGGAAGATCATTAGATGTATATGAGGAAGAGCAGGGACCAAGGACACTTCCCTGCGGAACTCCAGTATCAAGTGCTGTGTTGTTGATGCTGTGTCTTAAAGGTGACATACTGTCGATTACCAATTAGTACGGTAAGATTTGAAATATGCAAGCTCATGGCCCTCTTATACCATAACGGTCCAAGTTGTGGATAGATCCGTGTCACTGATGGTCAAAAAGCTTTCTTATTCAATAAAAATTCTAGTGATATTCCTTATT